CAAAAACCTTCATCGCCGGCGCGAGGACATCGTCATCGTTATCGGCGGGCGTGATCAACATCGGCGCCGTCATTGGCCTTGTCGTCGTCATCGCCGCCATCATCACCATCATCGCTACTTTCATAATCGTGTCTACCGTTGTCGCCGTCGCCATGATACCGCGCCCGCCCAAATCGCCGACTCGCACTGAAGTGCCCGTTGGGAAGTGCCCAGCGGTCAGCGCCGCCGCGGCCGCGTCGGTCGCGCCAGACTAGCTGGCCGCTGCGCGCGCGAGCATGCGCTGGCTAGCGCGGCCGCGGGGAAGCACCAGCCAACGCCAAGCTCACATCGCAATCGCCGCCGCATGGGTTTCTGCAAATCAAGTTGCGGGTGGGTGGGCGGGATGTTTACAAGCACGTGGGAATTGCCAACCCGTTTGCGCAAACCAATTGCACAGCATGTGTTGCACCACGTATATCTCATAAGTCGCCCCGCGTATTTTACTTCACGTATAGAGCACAACGTGCATTTCTAGAAACACAGTATGCGGGGCCGACGCTGGCCAGCATACGTGTACATACGCGTGCACACATGCGTGTGCACATGTAGGCGTATATGCAAGACATACGTGCTCTGTACATGTGAGCGTTCAAATATGCATATGTTGTATATACATGTACATATTATCATACGCGCCTCTCCGAGGGAGTAGAGCTCAGAGCCGATTAATTGAAGGCGGCGTTCGCGATTTTTCTTGCCGTTTCGCTAGGGACATCCTCGAACTTCAGAAAATCGGTGGCACCCCTCACGCAGATGGTGACGTCAGGGTCCAACAACACACATGGGAATTTCAACATTCTAACATAAAACCTTCAAAACACATTGTAATTTCAATGATTTGACCCCGATTCTCAGAGAATGGCGATTTCGCCTGAGACATCCTCCCAACATCGAGCCCCGACGTACCTTCTGGTACCCCAGACCCCGCCTCGGAGCCTCCTGGGGGTCTCCTGGAACCTCCTGGGGCCTCCTGCGGCCTCCTGGAGCCTCTTGGGGCCTCCTGGAGCCTCCAGGGGTCTTCTGGGGCCTCCTGAGGCCGCCTGGGGCCTCCTGGGGCCTCCTGGGGCCTCAGAACTACATGCAAGCACAGAGACACAAATCACACCCAACACATCACACGCTAGACTAACATAACACACACAACACCTACAACGCACAGAAAACACGCACAACACAGAGCACACATCACACACAGAACTCACAATCCCGGGGCCTCCTGGAGCCTCTTCCTGTATCCAAGTCGGGCCTCCTGAGGTTTCCTGGGGGGCCCTGGTACACACATCGCAAGGTGTGGCAACCCCACTTGCGCTCGAGTGCGAGCTCGATCTGAGATTCTTTTGCGTTCACCTCCTGCCTGTTCCCCTTCTCTTCTGCACGCCCTGGCGGCGCCGCCCCAGCTTCCCCTTCTCCATCTCCGATCCTGCAGTCATGGTGTCTTCCTGCTTCAAACGCCCTTTCAGTTTTTTGTATGAGCCTGGGCACACACGTGCCACTTGTATTTATATACACGAATATATGTATATATATACACATACATCTGTACACATATATATATATATATAGATATAGGTATGCATTTGCTGGTTCGTATGAACACTTGTTAGATACATCGGTATGCATGTATGCATGCATGTATGTATATATGGTTGCATGCATGTATGTATGTATGTATGTATGTATGTATGTAGGTATGTATGTATGTATGTATGTATGTATGTAATGTATTGTAAAGTAATGCAATGTAATGTAATGTAGTGTAATGTAATGTAATGGAATGTAATGTAATGTAATGTAATATAATGTAATGTACTGTACTGTAATGTAATGTAATGTAATCGAATGTAATGTAATGTAATGTAATGTAATGTAATGTAATGTAATGTAATGTAATGTAATGTAATGTAATGTAATGTAATGTAATGTAATGTAATGTAATGATTGTAATGTAATGTATGGATGGATGTATGTATACACGTCTGTGACCATATATCGTATACGCACACCCGCGTGACCAGACAAAACACGCAAACACCGCGAGGGCAGAGGACCATAGGCTGGCCAGAGGCGCCCGAGGACACAAAGATAGCCAACGACAATCGTAAATGATGGAAGCGCGCGGGGCCAAAGTGCGGCCAGAGACAAGGGCAAAGCATTGGAATGATCGAATACATGCAGAAACAGTGCTGGTGGCGCCATGGGGCCCAAGGCCTGGTGCCCGAGGGCCTTGGGACAGGCAGTGACGGACGCGAACTAATCGTGTCGCGCGCATCAGCGGCCGCAGGTGCGCCAGGATGGCCAATGCAAACCAGTGGCGCCCGAGGGCCCAACGGCAGCTATTGATGACCGCATCCGGTAGAAGCGCGTAGAAGCGGCGTGAGCGCAAGGCCCAGGGCTGCCTGGGGGCCCAAGGGCAGCTGGCGACAAACGCAACCAAACGAAGCACGCGCAACAACCGATCAGATGGCGCCACAGGGCCCCAATGGCCAGCATGTGACGCCCGAGGGCCCAAGTGCCAAGTGCAGCGAGTGCCAGCCGCAAAGAGTCGAAACGCGTGCGTGAAGTTGTCGAGGGGACGCCAGAAGGCCAGAGGCCAGCCGGGGGTGCTCTTAGTCCGACCAGCAGCCTGCGATGACCGCGGGCATGCGAAGCGCGCAAAAACCGTCCAGGGGCGCCAGAGGGGCCGAGGCCAGCAAGGGGCGCCCGAGGGCCCGAGAGCTGCCGTGCACAACCGCAAACAACCAACATGCGAGAAGAAGCTTCCCCAGGGGCGCCAAGAGGCCAGAGGTCATAGATGCTCCTGGGGCCGACGGGCAGCAAGTGACAACCGCAAAGAATCGAAGCGCGTACAGAAACGGCTTAGATGGAGGGCCCAAGGCCAGCCAGTGGCACCCGACGGTCCAGTGACAGCTCGCGGCCGCAAAGAATCCAAGCGCGCAGAAACGGCCCAGGGGCCCTCTGGCCCAAGAGCAGCCGGCGACAACCGCAGGCCATCAAGGCGCGCGCAGTGCCGGCCCAGTGGTCCCCAGCAGGTCCGAGGTTCCCGAGGGCCCGTGGGCATCCAGTGAAGACCAGAGGAAAGTCGAAGCGTGCGCGGAAGCGGCCGAGGATCGGGAAAGCGTAAGACCCGAGGGCGCCAGAACTCGGGTTAGCCGACGCTTTTGACGAGCCCGTCTTAGATTTGGTTTGGACGGTCCAGTTTTTCTTGGGAGGTTTGCAGTGGGAGGTCGCGTTGAACTACAGACTGGGTCTCGTCATTCTCCTGACGGCCCCGTCAGGCCAGCCCGAGTCCCCCGAACCCGAGTCTTACGTCTCCCCGATGAGAGGGCGGGGGGCCCACGAGCTAGCCAATGACGCCCAATGGCACACAGGCTGCTTCCGACAGCCGCACACAGTCGAGGCGCGTGCGCAGCAGCGGTCCAGGGAGCGCCGGAGGGCCCAGGGCCAGCAAGGGATGCCCGAGGGCCCAAGGCCAGCGGGCGACCGCCTGGGGCCATCCAGTAGCGCTCAGGGCCCAAGAACAGCTGGGACCCAATTGGTGACCAATCGAAGCGCCCACAGAAACGACCCGCGGGGCCGCCGCGGGGCCCAGGGCCGCCCAGCGACGCCCAGCGGCCCTAGGGCGGCCGGCGACAGCCGCAAACAATCGAAGCGCACGCAGGAACGGGTCAGTGGCCCGCAGGGGCACGAGGGTGCAGCCATGGCACAGACGGAAGAAGCTGATGCAGTACTACGCCCGCCAGGTGGGGAGAGGGGGGGATCCAGGAACCTACAAATGGGCGGCCTCAACATACGCATACATGGATCCAAGCAGATGTGCCTGCCGGGGGGCGAGGGGCACGGCTATATTGTAATGGCCTCCGGCCAGTGCCGCTGATCCGGGGGGCTCCGGATCCGGTGATCTTCGCGGCTTTCTGGCCTCCTCCCTCCTCGATTCTTCCGGTCTTCTTTCTTCTCCTCTGGGGGGTGCCTGGAGCGGTCCCCAGGGGAGGGCAGTAGCGGCTAGATCTGAGGGGGGTCCCCCCCGAAACATCTTGGGGATGCGCAAATCATTAAAAACAAACGCCAGATGGGGGACCGCCCCCCCCCCCCTTCCCCCCCTTCCCCGGGGGGGGTCCGGATGCGCAAATCATGCAGAAAAAGCCAGATGGAGGACCGCCCCCCCCTCCTTCCCCCTCTTCCCTGGCAGAGCCACCCCGGCGACCCCCCCCAAGCAGAGCTGAAGCTCTTGCGTAGGCTGAAGCTCTTGCTGAGGCTCCTTGTAGTTCACGCGCCGGATCCAAGCAGATGTGCCTGCCGGGGGGGGGGGCCGCGGCTATATTTCCGCAGGAGCAGAAAAGCAGGCACTGAAAGCGCAGACGTACGGCCCAACATGTAAACAAGATTGTGCCCGCGATGCTTCTGATATCTCAGCGCAACCTCTGCGAGACGTGACGTAGCAACCGTCGACAAGTATTGAGTTCATATCGGGCCTCCCTGTGTGAACCTGGAGGCCATTCTCCTCTCTCTGGCGGGTCCCCCAGCACCGGCCCCTCGTGCGCGAAGTGGTAAGCGACGCGACAGCTGCGCTGACGAGAGAGGCTCCTGCGCGAGCGCAGAGCCATGAGGCCCTCTCGCCTGACACTTTTGCGCTCTTGGCGTTCCCGTGCCGGCCCAGGCTTGTCACGCCCCCGACCCGTTGGGCTGGAGAGTTATCCTTCCGCTCTGCCTTTTGCTGCCGCTCACATTTTGTTCAATTCCGTCCTCTCCTCTGCCGCCACCTCCTCCGCTTCTTCCTCTTCTTTTGCTTCCTCCGTCTCCTCCCTTGTTCCTCACCCTCGTCCTTCTCCTCTTTTCTCCCTCGTTCTCCTCGCTGCATCCCCGTTGTCTGCGTCCTCTGCTGCAGTTTGGGGCCAGGGCGATCCCAGCACCCTCGCTGATACCGGACTCCAAGCACAATTAATGCACGAGCAGCTACGGGCCCCATGATCTTCCGTGCTTGGGCGTGGCTCGCCGTTGTCGCCGCCAGGGCTGTCCTGCCGCTCGTCGTGAAGCCCGAGAGGCGGTCTTTGCTCGGCACCGCGGAGTTCACCACTGGGCGAGCGGTGGACTTGGTGCCCGGAGAGCCGCAGTCCACGAACCTCCCTGGCACGGGCGCGAGCGGGAATGGCTCTCGGAAGCACGGCCAGACAGGAAGCGACGGGGCAGCATTCGAAGAAGAAGAAGAAGAAGAAGAAGAAGAAGAAGAAGAAGAAGGATAATCAGAAGAAGACAAAGAAGAATAATGACATTTATAAGAACAAGAAGCGGCATAAACAACAGCTGTCGGAGCTCCGCGCGGATTTCTTGGGTCGGCGCTGGGCCCCCTTGGCGGTGCTTCCGGCGCCGCCGCCAGCGCGCTCCGTGCGCCGGGGAGTGGGGCCCAGCGCCGATCCGAGAAGTCAACGCGGAGCTCCGAGAGTTCATGTTTATGTCGCCTGTTCTTCCTCTAAGGATCCGGGAAGCTCAGCCGAGCGAAGCCGCTGCTTCGGATCCAAGGCAACATCTCCCGGGGGCACCCGGTCAATCTGGTGGAGGGGTTCGGCTTCCACAAGCAGCTCGGAGGGTCATTTTCGCTGATGTGCACAGTAATGATGGCTAAAGTAAACCCTTGGCAGCGAATATCTGAAGTGCTTCGCCCTTTTCCGCCGTCCCCCATTTTTGATTGCTTGCATTGCTGGGTTGGCAACTGCAAGTTGTCTGGTTGGCAGGTTGATGAACAGACACTAATTGCCTGGCTGGCTGGTTGGCAGGTTGGCTGAATGTTCGATTTGATAGTATTGATATGCTGGCGGGTTCTGTGAATAAGGAAAAAAGTACGCAATACGAGTATGTCCATGGTTTTCTAGGTGGGATCGTGGCCTCGGCATCGCAGATTAAATTTCCTCTTTCGAGGGATTGCTTTTGGAGAAACAGTCCATCATCTCTTATCGTGGCATCGGGAGCCTCGGGACCGCGGATTCATTTTGTATGAGGGGTCATGGCCTCGGGAGCGCGGAACCATCGTCTGTTCCTAATCTTGTCAGTGTAGGTGTCGTTTTTAGAAGCCCCCTGCTCTTCCCCCCACTTGCCCTGGTCAATCGAATCACCCTCATCGTCACATCAAAACTGCTCTCGCTCGTCCTCATCGTTATTCATTCTCGGCTGCCCTCACTTTCACCACTCCAGTCATTCACGGACCGCCCGCTCCCCCAGCGCCACGATCCCTCGACACAGATGGCGCGCCCTGCCTAAGGGTTCCGACTGACGACCTTCGAATCCGAGGGTTTATCGGTGGACCTTGTGCTTTCACAGGTTGAGTGGACCTCCCGCCCTTCCGTGGCTGCGGATGCTTTTTAAGCGGATGCTTTTTAAAACCATTATCCCTAGAGGTCACGACCTCAGACCGTTGCATCCGACTGGGTATCGGCCGACCCTGTGTTTTCATATGTGGAGTGGGCGCCCCGCTCTGCTATGGCCACGACACATCGTAAGCATACAGGTGGAGTGTGAAACGCCCTCCCAGAGGCCTCAGCTCAAAGACCGTCGAATCCGAGCGGCTGTTCCAATCTCAGCGAAAACACGGGCTGAGTTGACCCCGCTCTCCCAGCGCAGCATCACCTTGCAAATTAGAATGGGTCCGTTTTCCAAGGGCCACGATCACTGGCAAGTTGCAACAGAGCCGCGCTCTCAGGGCCACGATCATTTGTACACTCCGGGGCGTCTGTCCTCGCAGGTGTGATTCTTGTTGCTTCCCTGCTGCTTATAGCTACCCCTGACACCCTTTCCCCGCTGCCATCTGTGCCCAAAACATTTTAGGGTACTTGGCCTTGGAGCTACGTGCGTTTGTACCAGCGATGCTTACAAACACCGGATCAACGATCATGCCATGTCACAGTGGTAGCGGAGCGTGCTCCCTCCACCTGCCTGGTGCGCGGCGCCACTCATAGTCCAGCCCCGCGGGGCCCAGGGTTCGCCAAGACGGTTGCCGTCGAAGAGAACCACGGCATCGAAGACCAGCGTCTCTCTGCTGCTGCTGCTGCAGCTCAGCACCTGCGTCAGCGAAGCCGCCGACCAGTCCATGCGCGTATTTTCCGCAGGGCTACGTCACGTTCCTTGTGCTCTCATCCATGTGCAGCGACACGATCAGCACGATGACGGGCTTTAGTAAGAATCGCGAGAGGCCGCTGAGAGGCCCATCGTACAAAGCCGGAGCGGTGATCTGGAAGAGTGGCGCGGTTACAAACAAGAGGTCGAGCTTTGGGAGCTCAGCGATAACCTGGAGGCAAAGCAAGGCCTGGCGTCCAAAATAGTACGGAAGCTCACGGGCGCCGCGCGCGCCGCCGCGATCAACGTGGATGCCGACATGCTTCGCCCAGCAGCCGAGGATGGCGTCGACGACGCCAGCTACAGGAAAATAGGAGTGACCAGGGTATCGGAAACGTCCCGCGGCATCTGGAGGAGAGCCTTGGCCAGCAGAAGCTGGTTCAGAAGGGCGAGACGCTCGAGAAGTTTTTCGAATCCACAACTCACCACGGGCGCCGCGGTGAGCGCGGGCTCATCAGGTTCGGCGCGGGCCCGCGACAGCTGCGCAAGAGCAGAGTGGGAATGCCGTCAACGATGCCGCTGGCTGGTTCTTGCCGCGTAAGGCCAGGCACAATGCAGAGCGACGCGAGCGAGGCATCGGGGACCTTTCTGGCGCGCGCTACGGGTTCCAGCGCCCGCGGGGAGTGCTGGTGCGCATGCTCCCGGACATCCGCGCCCGGGAGAGCGCGCGTTCTCTGCCGCCGAGGCCATGGGGGGATCGGTCCCGGTCATCGTGGCAATGTTCATTTACTACGAGGGGAGCTCGATCGGCCGGCGCGGTAGGCGAACCCGACGATGAGGACTTCGACGACGGCGAGGGTGACGAGGGCGAAGCTCAGGAGGGCGACGCCGAGGACAGGGCGCGCCACGAGCTCGAGGTTTTCAGTGCCGAGCTCGAGGCGTCGGGCTCGGGCGTGTCCGAGTTAGTCGACAACGACGACTCCGCGCGAGTTGAGGCCGCGGCGGCCGCGCTCGCCGTCGCCCCAGAGGTCGTGGCGCTCTCCGGTCGGCTCGAGATGCCATCGAGGGCCGCGGGAAGAGGAAGTCTGGTCGCGGCCGGGCCGCGGGCGAGGCCGTGATCTCGAGGGTCGACCGGCGGGAGAAGAACGCGAACTGCTGGGGCTACGGCGAGGCTTGGCGCTGGGCCGGTGGCCCGGACTGCCTTGCGCCTGGCGCCCGCCAGTTTGCGCGGCAGAATAGCAATCCAAGCCAGGTGCCAGGCTTAAGCCAGGGCGGCCGCGCCGCTCGACGAATCTCACCGGGCCGAGCGGCCCCGAGGAGGAGACCCGGCTCCGCCCCGAGGGCCTGGGCGCGCCGCCCAGCGAGGGCGCGCTCCCGCAGACGTGCGCATCCGAGCAGGTCGCCCCCGACCTTCTGGGCGTCGACCGGGCCGACGGCGATGAGGAGGCCAACGACCGCGGCGTCGGCGTGGTCGACGCGGCTCGCCTCCTCTGCGTGGCGGGCCAGTCCAGGCGCGACGACTGCTTGAAGATGCTCGTCAAGATGGGCTTTGGCGAGTAGATCTTGGAGGGGGCCGAGGGCGAAGCCAGCAGGTTCGGCAGCGGCGGGGCCCCGCCGAACAAGCCGCGCGTGACCGCGCCGCTCGTGCTGTGCGGGCGCGCAGGCATAATCGTTTTCAGCGTCGCGGACAGTCTGGAGCTCGGCCTGCTGATCGGCGGGCATGTCACTCGCCCCTCCACTGTCGACGTCTCGCGCTGGAAGGGCCAGTTCCGCATCGCAAGTCATATCCAGAAGCTCGCGGCGAGCGGCGCGCGGCATCCCGCGACCGAGCTGCGGCCTGAAGAGCGGCGAACTATCGAGGCAGCGGGCAGCGAGTCCGGCGCCGCCAAGGGGCACCGCGAGAGCGCGGTGTCGGACGTCAGCGTGGCGGAGAAGATGTCCTGCTTGGTGGGCGCCATCAATGGCCCAATCGCCAAGAGAGAGATCATAGTGCCAAAGCGGCTTCAGACCCGCGAGGTCAAGGGGTCGCGCCTCGTGGGCGCCGAGGCGTCCGCCCTGGCATGCTGCTCGAGTGCGACGCCTGCTGCGCCGCTCGCGCTGGCGACGCCCGCGATGGTCAACCTCGCGAGCGGTGCCGCGCGCGCTGTCGCGCTGTCGCGCTGAAGCCGCCGCCGCCGTGCCGGACGAGACCACGAACGCGTCGTAGTGCTACTCTTGTGGCCAAAGGGTTCGCCAGGCGTGCTGCAGCGTGCGGTTCTGCGCCAACTGCGCGTTCGGCGCCACCGCGGACCTGTGCGCGCGTGCCGACGCGAAGCCGAGGGAGGTCGACGTTGTGCAGCTGCGTGCGCGCAACCTCGCGAAGGGCTCGAAGACGCTCCTCGCTCCTCGCAGCTGGGAGGCGTCATCGCGCCGCATCAGGTCGGCCGGGTACTGCGAGCAGACTTGGCCCAGTCATCCACGACGCCTCGTGCGACCGCTGCCAACGCTACCATTCTCTACGAATGGTGCTGCAAGTCCGACAGCAAGCTCCGCGCTACCTGGAGAAGGAGAAGGGGAGCTGCTGTCCGGTGTGGATTCCCTGCGGCAGGGTAACAGCGGCTGATTCTGAGCCTGAGCTCGAACCGCAAGTGCGAGTTGCGCCAGGTGCGGCGGAAATTGGAAATCATGGTGAGCCTCTTCCTCGATGCCACTGGCCACCTGCGCGAGGAGTTCGGGTCGCAGCTGGCCGTCTCATTCGAGTGGCCTCGCTATTGGCGGATGGGGTCCGATCAAGAACGCCGCGGCGAAGCGGCCTGCGTTGCCCTTCCCGCGCGCGATCGACTTTGACGGCTGCGCCTTCGGCCTGACCAGCGAGGAGGGCGCGCCGATCAAGAGGCCGTGACGGATCATTGTTGACAACTTCGGGTTCGACGATTCGCAGCGCGAGTTCTGCGACGAGAGCCACAAGCACGCGGAGCTTCAAGTTTGCGACGCCAAGAACGGCAATACTTACGCGCAGCAGCTGGTGAACAAGCTCGCCGCGCAGCTCCGCGGGCCCAATCGTGGACCGCCAGCTGTGCGAGAGTCGATCCGACCTCGACGGCGAGGAGGAGGGCTGTGCGACGGACGCCCGCGGCCCCAGCCGCTCCACAAGAGCCGCCAGTCACGGCGGCGGAGGAGCGGACGCTGAAGTCAGCCACCATGCAGCTCCACGCCAATGCAATGTATCCTTCGAAGGACGCCCTGCCATGGGCGATCCGCGTGACTGGCGGGTCTCAGTGTGCGGTCGAGATGGCCTCGATCTTCATTGCGAGGTTTGTGCCTCGCATCAATGACTGCTGTCCCGCCTGCCAGGTCGCGTCAGGTTAGATCGCGATTCGAACGACTCCATCGGCGTTGACCTATTCACTCTTGCCGACTACGCTGGCCACCAGCTGATGTTTTCGAATGTGGTGGACCTGGCCTCAGGCTTCATTGTGAGTCGGGCCGTGGAATCAAGGCGTCCGACGATCGCTTTCGCTCGACTGCTCCAGTAATGGATCGCGCCATTCGGCGCTCCCCAACTAGTTCTATTTCGCGGCGGAGGAGAGTTCGAGCCCTAATTCTCGAATGCGCTCCAGGACAT